GTCAAAGTCTAGTTTAAAGATAAAGCAACTTTAGGAAGGGATATCAAGGGCATTGAAACTGCCCATCAGCAGTGACCACTGGGACCCTTAACTGAGCAGGCACAAAGGTCACATGGTCACATTCTTCCTCTCTATGGTGGAATGTATTGAATTATTAGCAAAATTATTATTTTCAAATTTCCATCTACACGTATAACACAACAGAGGCACATCATATACAAATCTGTGCGACCATTTGCTCTCTCTAGCAATTTGTATGTGGCCACCCTAACCCCTCCTTCAAATAGTTCCCTCTCTGGCCAAGTTTCTCCTAGGGCTCAAGTGCCAAACACATTAGATAAGCTTGAGTCCCTCTGAGCCCAGGGAGGTCCTCTTTCACTTTAAGCAACATGCACATTAGTCAAAGCCCAGTGGATTTCGGCTTTAGAACCTTGTCAAAGTTCCCAGCAAGGGAACAAACCCCAGAAGCAGTGAGGCCAAGCCAAGCTGGTCTCGGCAATGCCAGTGTTTCAAATTGGCTTCCTGATAGACTGAAAAGCTCAATGAGCTATCTATATCTGGGGATGCCAGTGGTCTAAAGGATGGTTGGACTTTCTTAATTATCCCATTCGGTAGCCAGCTGCCATCACTGGAACAAAGGCCCACAAGCTTAGTCTGTGTCCTGTCCTTGCAACATGAATGCTGAATTATGAGGATTGGGAATCTTTTCTTAAGCAACAAAACAGGGATGGGAAACCAGTGACCTTCCAGATATTTTGGAACTCCAACTCTGAACATCCCCTGACCATTTTCCATATTGGGTGGGGTAGGTGGGAGTTGGAGACTAAGAGGAGATATGATAGCCATCTTCGAATAGCTAAAGGGCTGTCACAGGAACGATGGAGCAAGCTTTCTTTCTCCTGCTCCAGAGGCTAGGACCGAAACCAATGGATTCAAGTTACAAGCAAGGAGATTCTAACTAAACAACAGGAAGAACTTTCTGACAGTAAGAGCTGTTCAACAGTGGAATGGGCTCCCTCGGATTGTGGTGAACTCTCCTTCCTTGGAAGTTTTTAAGCAGAGGTTGGATGGCCACCTGTGCTGCATGATCTAGTTGAGATCAGGGCATTGCAGGGGGTTGACCAGGGGCCAGCAAACTTTTTCAGCAGGGGGCCAGTCCAATGTCCCTTAGACCTTGTGGGGAGCTGGACTATATTTTGAAAAAAAACTAAATGAACAAATTCCTATGGCCCACAAATAACCCAGAGATGCATTTTAAATAAAAGGACACATTCTACTCATGTAACAACATGCTGATTCCCGGACCGTCCATGGGCCGGATTTAGAAGGCGATTGGGTTGGATCCGGCCCCCGGGCCTTAATTTGCCTACCCATGAACTAGATGATCCTCAGGATCCCTTCCAACTCTACAATTCTGTGAAGATCTAAAGGCCTGCAGGTTAGCCAGCCTGCGAGGTGAATCACTCCTGGTTGAAACAATTCAGATTAAAAGATCTGGGCCATAAGAAAAGAAAACAGAATGCAAGCATAATGCTGTATGGCTGAACCTTGAAAATAGTTTCCGGGACTAAGACCTGCCTTAAACTGAAGAAGGCAGAGGAGGCAGAGTGCCCTTGTGAGCAGGTCCTGTTTAACCATTCTCCACAGGCATCTGGTCAGCTACTATGAGGACAGGGTGCTAAACCAGGTGGACCATTGTCCACATCCAGAAGGCCCCATCTTATGTTCTCTGGGTGCTGGGCTTGAGGTCTAATGCACTAGGGCTCTTCTTCTCTTAAGGAGAGAGAAAGGAGTTCAGCCAAACCTGCATCTGGTGTGCAAATGAGATTCTGCCCCTTCCTTGAACTATGCATATCTTCTTTTTTCATTATCAAAGTTCTGTAAGTTTTTGACAAGGGGAAGAAAAAAAGCTAATGTGCAGAAAAGTTCTACTCATCAAGGTCACTTATCATTCCCTTCCCAAGCCGCCCGGAGCTCCCTTTGGTAGGTGCAATCTTGCGAATTTTCACCCATCATCTGACGCCTGTGTCAGCTTGCCTTGTATTTTTAAGATCAGCTTGGAAGTGCAAGCAGACCGTAGCTTGCTCTTTTAGCACTTCCAGGTGCTGCTGGAGGTGCATCTTAGCACACAGCTAATTTGTCAGAAGGGGGAACTGTGTATTTTTCCTCCCTTCCCAGCTTGCGATTTCCTTCCAAAGGTGCAATTATATTTCATCACCAAATCACTGAGAGCTGAGTTAGTGTTTTTCCCTCTTTCCTCTGCTCTGAGGTTTTAATCTCTGCTTGAATTTGGATGGATTCAAACATGTGGAATAGTTGGGCACCTAGATAACTAAAACCCATTTAAAGAAAAACAAAGAGCAACGGGACGCTTTTGAAACAATAAATGAAATAGTGTAATGTGGTCGAAATGCCTGGTCTGCTGTTTCTGGCAGAATCCACTTAATATGCAGGGTGAGATGTGTGTGGACTGTGTGTGTATCTCCTGGGTCTGAGTTTTGCACACTTTGAGCTGTGTTTGTTGGCAAGCACAGTGCTATCACTCCTAGAGATAGACTGAGGGAGAGACAGAGAGATTTAAAGAGGGACAGCTGTTTTCCTATAATCATTGTCAAAGGAGGGGGAAAAGTGAGGTTAAAGATCTAGGTGGAAGGACCATAGCTGTCAGACTCCTGTCCCCAAAGTGCAACAACAGCGACTCCTAATTGAAAATAAGGAAGAGATCTTTAGTCAGACAAACACAAGGTTCAGAAGTCAAGATTCTGAGCTACATGAGCAAGGCAAGAGGTCCATAACTGAATGGAAGCTAGGAAGCTGCCCCAACAGTTGGCACATTCTGCTCAGCAAGCTTTTAAAAATGAGGCAGGGTGAGCGCTCATCCTATGGTTCTGCTGTGCATGGTCATGCTCCATCTGAGTGGGTGCATCTTTTGTGTAGCCTCCTCTTCATGATACTGTCCAGGCACTGTGTTGCACACACCTGTAACAGTAGCAGGTTGCATGGTGGGATTCTGCCCAGCTGATGTCTTGTTGGTCTCACTGCAGCTGCTTACCAGGGGATAGAGCAGCCTTTCTCAACCTGTGGGTCCCCAGATGTTGTTGAACTACAACTCCCATCACCCCTAGCTAGCAAGGCCAGAGCTCAGGGATGATGGGAGTTGTAGTCCAACAACATCTGGGGACTCACAGGTTGAGAACCTCTGGGATGGAGGGAAAGGATGAGGCAGTGAGGTCAGGGTGGTGCAAGCACATCACTGGAGTCAAACAATTTGCGCCTCACTGGTTTCCCCATCTGCTCATCCCTCCCCTTCTACTTCCTGCTAAGCTACTAATGTAGGGCTGGTATACATCTGGGGGGAATTACCAGGATTTCAAAGGTGGAATTGATGTCTGGGGGGAATTTTCAAAAGGTGGCACTTTGTCCTGGATCTTAGGCAAGTTAATTGAAAAATCGTGGTTTCCTAATTTCTGTTTTCCTAAAAAAAGGGGGGGAGAGAAAAGCTAAACAATTTTGGGGTGCTCTGGTTTTTACTTTTTGAAACATGGCAACCCTAACTGATGTGTCTGTCCAAATGACAGGTAGTACATCCACCCCACCATGCTATCTTCTACTGCCATATAATAGACTACTGGGAAGATATTGCTCCATCACGGGCTGAGCTGCTCTGTGATCCAGCTTGCCTAGCCCCGCTGCCTACAACCAGAGGATATCAGTGGGCTCTGAAACCTTGCCCAAAAAAGAGAAAGGTTGACAAAAGAAGAGACCTAGACTATGAAGACCAAGAAAGCCAGTGAGGTGTAGTGGTTAGGGGGTTGGACTGGGACCTGGGAGATGATGGTTCAAATCCCCACTCAGCCTTGAAGTTCACTAGGTGGCGTTGGGCCACATTCCATCTCCCAGTCTAACCTATCTCACAGGGTTGTTGTGAGGAGATAATGGAGAGGGAAGAGAACGACGTATGCCACACTTGAACTCCTTGTAGAAAAAATGTGGGATCAAAATGCAATTATATGTAAATGAATGAATGAAGGAAGGAAGGAAGAGGAAATATCCTTGGAGTAATCCTGACACTATCAAGACACCCTGCTATTTCGGTTCCTGATACCAGATTTTAATGTGACTTTTATTGGGTGAATTATGCACCTGGAGAGTCTCTCTGGGCTACAAATTGCAACATAAATATTCTAAATAAATAAAATGGAAACAAATTCATTTCATGACGTTGATTACAAAGTATAGATCATGATTATTTAAACTTTGTCTAACTCCCCGCCCTTCTTTTTTCATGGATTCTTAGAAAACTTGTGATATATATATCACAATTTTCAATTTGATATGCACATTCTCTATATAAAACCTTTTTAAAAAAGGGGGGGGGTGAGGAAAATGGTTAGTTATTGGATATTGCTTTGCATTAAAATGCCAAGGTGCTTTTCCGTTAGGATGCACTGAGGCTTGTTCAGAGAGCATGTAAAACATGACTGACAAGGGCGGAGATGTTTGTAACAGGTGGACAATAAATAACTCATTAGCATTTGCATAAGAAAGAAAAATGACGCCTCGGCTATTTAAGATAAAGCGCCTTAATATTCTCACAGAAGCAAAACAGGTGTTAAATTACTTTTGGTTTGCATTCCATGCTGTGCTGTTAACTGAGTCCATACTTCATTCAGACTTATGAATATTCATAATTGAGAAGAATTAAAAAAAACGTTGCTTAACAATCTTACTTCTCATCACTGTTTCTTTTTTTTAAGCCTCCCTCTTTTTAAGACTCCCTTTTCATATATTTTTTTTGTTTCGTTTGCTATTCTGGTAAGTTGGATCTCGATCGTTCGTCACCTCCTTTCTCAGTCCCTTTGAAGTTGGTACTTTCAGCCAGGATGGATGAGAACTTAGGAACACAAAACAGACTATTGGTCCTTATAGCTCAGTATTGTCTACACTGACTGGTAGAAACTCTTCAGGGTTTCAGGCAGGAAGTACCTCCCAGTGCTACCTGGAGACGCCAGGGATCGAACCTGGGACCTTCTGCATGTAAGGCAGATACTCTGCCACCGAGCTCAGGCCCTTTCCTGGAGGGAGCTTGCTGAAAAACACTTCAGTCCTGTAGCGATTGTGCCAGTCCAGTCTCATGATGCCTTTGGTCAGCTTGGGATGGTGGTGTATCATAGCCATGCGTCATCACTCATCCTTGGCCCCATCTGCACCATATGCTTAAAGCAGGATCAGACCTGCCAAAAGAGTCATGGCTTTTCTCAAAGAATCCAGGGAACTGTAGTTTGTTAAGTGTGCTGAGAGCTGCTAGGAGGCCCCAATTCCCACATCCCAGAGCTACAATCCTCAGTGTGGTTTTAAACAATAAAGCCCTCTTCTCAGGGAACTTTGCAATTGTAGGCTGTGAGGGAAATAAAGGTAAAGGTAAAGGGACCCCTGACCATTAGGTCCAGTCATGACCGACTCTGGGGTTGCGGCGCTCATCTCACTTTATTGGCCGAGGGAGCCGGTGTACAGCTTCCGGGTCATGTGGCCAGCATGACTAAGCCGCTTCTGGTGAACCAGAGCAGCGCACGGAAACGCCCTTTACCTTCCCACCGGAGCGGTACCTATTTATCTACTTGCATTTTGACGTGCTTTCGAACTGCTAGGTTGGCAGGAGCTGGGACCGAGCAATGGGAGCTCACCTCGTCACGGGGATTTGAACCGCTGACCTTCTGATCGGCAAGTCCTAGGCTCAGTGGTTTAACCCACAGTGCCACCCGCATCCCGTGAGGGGAATAGGGGCCTCCTAACAGCTCTCAGCATCCTTCACAAATAATAGCTCCCAGAATTCTTTGGGGGAAACCATGACTGTTTAATGTGGCATTGTGTTGCTTTAAAAGTGTAGTGCAGATGGAGCCTAGTTCCATCCTGTAGCAGATTTGAGTGGCATTACAGTGCTTTCAATGTGTGGTGTGATAATCCTAGCACTTCCCTCTCACTTTCTAATATTCCTTTCTCTTCTCAGGCAACTCTTTGGGTGAAGCCATGACTGTTTGAAGTGGTATGATATGGTTCTAAATGTATAATGCAGATGAGGCCAATATCTTGGGCAGACTCATGCCAAAATAGTGGTTCACAAGAAACTACCATCGGGACTTCCTTAAGATCTGACGTCCCCCCCCCCCATACCTACAACCAAATGCAAAGCATAATTATAGAGAATTTATTGGGCATATCCAAGCTCCTTTCGCAATGCGACTCCTGCAGTCGCTGGAGATAGATTACATCTTGCTAACAAGCATTTGGCATTTCTAACAGCAGGTTGACTCCAGGATAAGCAGCAGGGGAGCTCGGAGCAAAGAGAGTGCACCAAATGTCCCTCTGGCAGTTACCATTATTCAGCAAAGTCTTGGTACCAAAGCCTTTGCACAGGACCTGCGTGCTCCATGCAGAGAAGTTGAAAACGAGCAGGTTGATTGATTGATTTAACACACTCACATCCTGCGCTTCCTCAGGGGCAACTTGGGGTGAAATGCATCCTGAGAAGCAGCCACAAAGGACTGCCAATGTACTCTTAATGAGGATATGAAAAACGCTCGGGCCTCCAGAAAATGGCTACAACAGGGGCCACCAAATATTTTCAGCCATTGGGTGCATTTGGCATCTTGAGAAAGCACCATGGGTGCAAGTCACAAAATGGCTACAGTGGTGGGGTGCGGCATATCACAAAGTGGCTGCTGTGGAGGCATGACGTAGTGGCTTCAAGGTAGGAGAGGCTGGGCAATCAGGAACGGAGCAGGAACAGAGCTCCCGTTCTCCCCCATAGAGCTACAATTTCCACAGTGGTTTAACAGTCCATCCGTCTTCCCAGGAAACTCTACAAATTGTAGCTCTGGGAGGGCAATAGGGGTGAAGCATATTGCAGTCTCCCGGGCAACCCAGGCTGCATGGGCCTTGTATTTCTCCTGGTGCAAAATCCTCTGACGAAACAGTGAGCTACAGTTCACCTGGGGAAGCTGCATAATCTCCACAGCTGTCACCCTGGCTTTGGCACCGTGGCATTACCTCCAGCCTTCCCACACGCCTGCTTGCCACCTAATGTTTGGCATCATCCGGAAGCAATAATTTATGCGGGTCCAGTAGCAAATCACACTTCTGTTAAGTTGGCATGCTTTCTGACCAGCTTTTCCTTTGCTCTCATTGATTTGCCTGTTTAAAGCTATGTTGGGATTTTGATATCAATATTTTATTGGTGTCTTTGAAAGCTTTACAAGAAGTCATAACAACCCTTTTGGACGCTGGTAATGTGTTACTGTAAAGCATCAGGATGGCATTATCCCAGGCCGCAGGGGATAGTGGCTGGTCACCATAAATCCACTGCAAAGGGCCTGAGCATCCTAACATGTGACCCAGGGCCAAAAAAATAGGAGTAACATATACTGCAACTGTGTAAACAATGGCTGACTGAGGCCACATTCACACAATACATTCAAAGCGCCAGGATACCACTTAAAACAGCCATTGCTTCACCCAAATAATTCTGGGAGGTGTAGTTTACTAAGGGTCCTGAGAGTGGTTAGGAGGCCCATATTCATGGAGTGACAATTCCTAGAATTCGGTGTGGAGATGGGTTGGTTGTTAAATCACTCTCTGCCTTTCTTCCCTTACCACTATGTTATAAATAGATGAATGTGTGTGTGTGTTCATACTCTCTCTCTCTCTCTCTCTCTCTCTCTCTCTTAAACTACAGGGAATCCAATCCCTGAACTATGCAATTTGATTGAAATCAGTTGGAGAAATTAACTGTGAGTGACTAAAAACCTATTTCATAACAATTTAGCAATGGTTCTCTGGATTGGGGCTCAATATACCACTTTCTTGACTCCTAGCCCTCCAACAAATGCTTAACAATATTGTATGAAACATAACCAGATCTCATTAAAATAATCCAACCTTCAGTCTTCCCTCCAAACCCAGTAAAATATAATGAGGCACACTTTGAAAGTTTCTAGTGAGTCCCCCAGCTTACAAATTCAAATAACGAATTCTCATAAACTTGTGGGAAATTCAGTATCATATAACCAGCATGCTTAGCTCTAATTAATGCAAGAATGGTTTAAGACCATAGAGTAAGCTATTTTGCCATACTTGACTACATCACACCACCTCTCCTTGAGGGATGCAGGGTCAGCAAATTCTCTTTTTTTCAGTCTAGTCCACCATGTGATTCTGACCAGAGAAGACATCTGGGCTAATTGGTCCAAGTGCAGACTGTGTGTTTAGAGACATTGTACCAAGTTTTGTTTGTTTTGTTTTTTAAATGATATTTATTGGAAAAAAAATTAGAATTACAAAAAAAAGTAAAAAAAGAGAAAGAAAAAACTTAAATCTTATTTTTACCAATTTCTCATAACCATAATATTCTTACATAATTCTTTAAATATTTTTGCTAAAGCCAAATAATTTCGTTCCAACATTTTTCTAACATTCATCAATTTTATAAAAGAATCCTAATTAAAAAAAACAAAAAAAACCAATCCAGTCTTCATCCAGCGTCTCTTCCTCCTGGTCCCGGGTTTTGTCAGTCCTCTCTATCCCATCAGTCTAGCGCATTAACCTGGTAATCTTATATCTGAGGCCCTTAAGTCCCTTCCATGTCCCTTCCATGGCTCTTCTTCATATTTATAGCTGTATTTTCCTTTGTCTCCTGCTCCTTTCACTCGTGGGAACTCCAGCTTAACAATGTTTTTGACCCTTCTCGACAAATCAGCCCCTTTTCCATAGTCCACACTAAACTCCATGTGGTATTTAAGAACATGTTTCAAAGTCCCTCCAAATTTAAGAGCCCCCACAACCCCAAACATCTCACGGCCCATTACCAGACTTGAAAAGTCCAAACATCCCTGCGTAGGGGGGTCTATCCAACCCCCCATTTCCAAACCAAGCCAAACTTTGTCTTTCCAAATCTGGCTTTTTCCAAGTTCATTTGTCAAATCCAAGAACTCATGTTCCTGCTGGGCCGCAGCTCCCTCCATCTCTGGCGCCTGAGGTTCAGCAACATCCTCTTCCCTCATCTGTTCTGTCAGGGCACACTCCTGATTTGATTCCTGGGTGGGCTCCATATAATTTCCCACTGCCTGTTCAAAATTTTTGATCGCATCAGTCATCAAGTCCGTCTTCTCATGTAGCTGTTCCAGTAGGGCACTTGTTTTACAGAGAGCACACAGCAGAGCTTCTGAATACATTGTCCTGCAAGGTCAGAAGTCTATTCCCACGATCGTAATCTGTAGCAGCTGCAAGCTCCCCGATTCAGAATTGGTTACAGTTTCACAGGCTCCCTCTAGGGGGAAAACTTCTATTTGTTCTTTTCTTTTAAAGACAGATCTAACAACAAAGTTTCCTTTTTCGGATATTTTGTCAATATTTGTTCCTTTAAAATGCGAAAGGGAGCAATGGAATCACTATGTTTCTCTTCTTTTAGCTATCTGTCAAAAACGTTTGTCTCTGGTCAATGAGCTTCAAAAAACGTCAGTCCTGACACCCCGCTCCAGGATCAAGACGGTGGAAAGTTACTTTGCTTTACACTCACTTCTGCAGGTTTAAACAGTCCGAAAAAAATCCCCCCTCTTCTCCTGCTTCCGAAGGGGGTTCAACAATGGTGAAAGTTAATCCTTTACAAGCGATTTTCTGAACTCTAGTTTGCCATGTCTTTGCTTTAATCTATCTACAAAGAATCGGAAGGCTGACTTCCTGTTTAGACCTTCCCGTTTCAGTACCAAATTGAAATAAACTGTTAAGTCCAATTTTCCTTTCTACTCGCAATTCCTTATTTAGAGTCCAATGGTCCGAAATTTAAGTACTCACGGTGATTGTTTTAAAAGCCAAATTGTCCCAGGAAAAAGGCAGCGCTCTCCGGCAATGGCTGTGCGGCTTCGCTCCACGGAAGAAGCAGTTGACTCTCAGCACCGCGCCACTTCCCCCTCTTCGCTCCGGAGCCCGTTAGTGGGTTCCTTTGTGGGTTGGGGGGGCGCTAAAGGTGCCCGCCGAGTCCCATGGTCACAGGCTTCATCCGCCTGTGATTTTTGAAAGGGTCC